TCCCAGCTACTCTGGAGGCTGAGGCAGGAGAATGGTGTGAACCCAGGAGGCGGAGCTTGCAGTGAGCCGAGATTGTGCCACTGCACTCCAGCCTGGACGACAGAGTGAGACTCTGCCTCAAAAAACAAAAACAAAAACATATATGTGTGTGTGTATATATATATGTATATATATGTGTATATATATAGGATAATTACATGCGGGTGGATTAGAGTGGGGTAAGACTGGAAATTGGGAGAGCAAGCTACTTAGTCATCTAGTGGGGCAGGTGTGATAAGGGTCTGAACTAAGACAGTGATGATAATAAAGAGAGGAGGAGATGTATATGAGATATTTAGCAGGTACAAGTTGTTAGACTCGGTAATCAGCTTGATGTGAGAAATGAGGGAGATGTCATGAATGGTGCCCTGATTTCTGACTTGGATAATGTTCCTTTTACCAAGATAATGGAGTATAGGAGGGGTCTCAGGCTCAGTAGTAAAACTGATCTGTTCAGTTCTGGACACTACTAAGTTTAAGAGGGATACCCAGGTGAAGATGTCCAGTCAGATATAGGGTTTAAGATTTAGGGGAGAATTCTTAGAGATACAGATATGAGCACATAGGTAATAGTAGAATCCTTGTATATGGGAGAAAGTATACAGTAAGAAAATGAGAAGACTGAATATAGAACTCAAGGGAAAAACATTAAAGGGAATGACTGAGGAAAGGGTACCTACAAAGGTGACTGATAAATGGATGGCTGAGCAGAGTAAGAGAAAAACTGGGGTGAGTGGCTTTAGAGAAGTCACAAGAGGAAGTTCAGAAAGCAAGGAACTTATCAAAATTGTTAAGTGCTACAGGAGTTCAGTAAGATTGGCCATCCTGTTTGATTTATTAGTTAGGAGGTCATCCTTTGGTACCTGTAAAAGGAGCAATTTTAGTCACATATATAGTTATACTACATCTTTGATGTAATTAAAAGTTTTTTGGGAGGTCGGGGCGGGTGGATCACGAGGTCAGGAGATTAAGACCATCCTGGCCAACATGGTGAAACCCCATCTTTACTAAAAATATAAAAAACAGCTGGGCGTGGTGGCGTGTGCCTGTAGTCCCAGCTACTAGGGAGGCTGAGGCAGGAAAATTGCTTGAAGCTGGGAGGCAGAGGTTGCAGTGAGCTGAGATCACGCCACGGCACTCCTCAAAAAAAAAAAAAAAGTTTGTTATAAAAAATTTATATTAATATATGCAAAAGCCTACGGTAGATTAAGAATTTAGGAGAATTCCTAAATAGGAGTTACAAAGAACTAACTAAAAATTTGTTTCCATGGGAGAAAGGACATTCAGTAACATATAATTTAGATGACCAGTCATTAAGTTTGAATTAGTAATAGCCTAGAATGTAATAAATCTACTGACAAAATTAGAAGGTTGAAAATGAGGTAAGATTGTTATTTTTGTCAATTAGTGGTCTGTCTTAGTGGTCAGATCCTTCTTTCTGTTATGTAATAGTATATCCTTTTATTTTGAAAGAAGATAAACAGTCAATCAAAATCTGTTTTTTTTTGGTAATTATTACTAATAATGTGATACTGGAGGACATAGTTTAGATGCTACTTTTACAAAGGCCCTGATGCTACTGTAATAAATAATATTCTAAAAATTTTAAAGGCTTTCTTTGTGATAGATTTTGTTTCCTTTGAACAATGATGGTATTGACAAGTACTTGAAACTAATTTGTAGTGAACAGCTAAGGATTAAGATGACTATTTGGATCTCACCATGCTTCTCACATTTGTCTTTCCTTTGGTTTTGTTTTGGATTTTCATAATAAAGGCAGAACCGTTCATAAACACTTCCATTTGTTTATGAACAATAAATGAGGATCCATTTCCAAGTACCTCACCTTTAGACAAACTCAGTATCACTTTCATAATAGATTAACTTCATAGAAAACAAGATGTAAGCAGAAAACATTAGATGGTTGTAATAAAATGCAGCTTCAATGTCTTTGCCTCAGGAGTTAATGGAAAATTTTTGAGTTATAGTGAATCTGCCAGAACTTGTGTATGTTCTTTGTTAATGGCCTTTATTTACATTTATGCCCATTTAGAAAAGTAATAATCTCGATTAAGAAAACATTCACAACAATGACATTCCATTTCTGGCTAGTATAGAAACCTGCTATAGAAATGCACTTTAATACTAGTGTCAAGCAGTTACATTTGAGGTTTTCTTATGTTTAATAGATTTAAAAAAGTACATTCTATGGACATACGTATTCTAATTGTAAGTGTACATGTTTAAAGGTGAGCTGTAGAGTGAGTGGCATTAATTAAAGAAGCATGGCAAAACTTACAGATTTGCAAAGTAGTGGTTCAGAAGACCAAAAATGTAGTCTGTCACTGCTGTTGTTGCTCAGAACATTTTTGGAGGTCACTTAGAATGCTTTGAGCATCTAGAGTACATTTTTCTTTGCTTCCATTTCTTCCATTGTGGCAAATATTTGTCCTTTGAGGATGGATTTAATTTTAAAAAGCTTTTTATTTTGAAGGAATCTTAAACGTACATAAATGGTTCAGGAAGTTCTTTGTACCCTTAACTATGAGAATTAGCAAATCAATATGATATTTGAGTATGATTAAATCTTTAGATCCCAAGTTTTGATAGTTGTCCCAGTAATGTCTCGTCTCGTCTCCCCTCCCCTCCCCTCCCCTCCCCTCGCCTCTCTTCTCTTCTCTTCTCCTTTTTTCTTTTCTTTTTCTTTGGAGACAGGGTAATGCCCTGTCACTCAGGCTGGAGTGTAGTGGCATGATCACGGCTCACTTCTGCCTTGACCTCCTAGGCTCAAGTGATTCTCCCGCTTCGGCCTCTTGAATAGCTGGTACTACAGGTGTGTGCCACCATGCCTGGCTAATTTTTAAAAATCAGTTGTAGAGATGAGGTCTTGCTATGTTACCCAGGCTGGTCTCAAACTCCTGGGCTCAAGTGATCCTCCCGCCTCCGCTCCACAAAGTGGTGTGATTACAGGCATGAGCCACTTCTCCTAGCCCCCAATAATATTTCTTTTCTTTCTTTGTTTCTTTTTTTTTCTGTTTTGAGACAGAGTCTCGCTCTGTCACCCAGGCTGGAAAGCAGTGGCGTGATCTCGACTCACTGCAACCTCCGCCTCCCAGGTTCAAGCAATTCTCTGCCTCAGCCTCCCGAGTAGCTGCGATTACAGGCGCCTGCCACTACGCCAGGCTAAGTTTTGTATTTTTAGTAGAGACAGGGTTTCGCCATGTTGGCCAGGCTGGTCTTGAACTCCTGACCTTGTGATCCACCCGCCTTGGCATCCGAAAGTGCTGGGATTACAGGCATGAGGCACTGTGCCCAGCCACTAATATTTCTTATAGCAGAAAGATCCAGTTCATAATCACTCCTTGCACTTAATTGTCATGCCTCTTTGTTCTCCTTCAATATAGAAGTTTTTATTTTCATGACCTTGGCACTTTTAAAGATTATGAAGCAGTAGTAACATTGTAGAATATCTCTTAATTTGGGATTCTCTGTTTTCCCTTTATATTTTGACTCAGTTTATACAACTTTGGCAGGAATGTCAATGAAGTGTTGCTGTTTTGTTTTCATTGTATCCCATAAGGTGTTATATGATTTCAATTTGTTTCATCACTGGTGATTTACTTTGACCATGTCTGCCAGACTTCTTCACAGTCAAATTACCTTTCCCACCCCACTTTACAATTAATACATAATTTGTGGAGAGATACTTTGAGATATTATAATATCCCAATCCATATCAACTTTATATTCATTCATTTTTATCAGTATGGACTCATGGGTTCCTATTTTATTTTATGGGTTATAATCTCATATGCTTGTTATTAATTTTGGTGCTCAAATTATTACAGATTTGGCCACTAGGAGTCACGTCAAGCTGGTTTCTGGGTCCTGTTGATCTGTCCCCATCATTCTTTGAGCATATTCTTATTTTCTGGGGCAATAAGATGTTCCAGGCTTGGCCAGGTGGTGGCTCACACCTGTAATCCCAGCAGTTTGGGAGGCTGAGATGGGCAGATGACCTGAGCTCAGGAGTTCGAGATCAGCCTGGCCAATGTGGTGAAACCCTGTCTCTACTAACAATACAAAAATTAGTCGGGCATGGTGGCGCGTTCCTGTAATCCCATCTACTCAGGAGGCTGAAGCACGAGTATTGCTTGAACCCAGGAGGCAGAGGTTACAGTGACCCTAGATCACGCCACTGCACTCCAGCCTTGGCAATAGAATGAGACTCTATCTAAAAAAAAAAAAAAAAAAAAAAAGATGTTGCAGGCTTATCCTGTACTTGGAGTCAGCCATTGCTCCGAGGTGTCCTGGTTGCTTTTAAGAGAGAATGGTATTTAGAAACCCCAGTCCATGTGTTTATTCTAATGAAGTATAGCTGTCTCAGGTCCTCTTAGGACAGAGCTGGGGAAAATTGTGTGTGTATTTCTTTGTAAGTCTGTGTTTGTTTTGGAAGGTAGTGAGAGAGGGGAAGGGAGAAATTTATATTTAGTTTTATGTCTACCTTTATGTACTGAAAACTGTGAGTTCACTCTGATACTTTCAGTTCCAATCTATCACTCTAGGAGTCATTCTTGTTTTCTCTCTTTCCATATTTGTAACTCTGTAACTCCCGTCTTCCACAGTGAGATACCTGACACCTCTAACTCTCTCTCTCTCTCTGTATCTATGTATCTATCTATCTAGATAGATATATTTAACTTTTTAATCAAAAAATTACACATATTTAACTAAAATTTTACCACACAAATGCCCTCCTGTGCCAGGCTGTCGAGTCCTGACACTCCATGCTAGGACATGTTCAGAAACGGAAGAGAGGGGACGGGTAGATTTAATTTTTTGAAATGGCCATCATCATTGAGAGTTAACTTTGGTGAATAAGGTGAGTGATCAACCTGGATAATAACATTTTAGCTCAAAAACAGTATAAAAGAATTGTTGTTATAAAATAATAAGGCGAGTTTTTTATGTGGATCCTAAATTATCTGTAAATGTTAGAAAAGGAGTGTTAACAATTTTTTGAATATTATCGTCAAAAATATGTAACTTCTCATGGTAAAGTGGACCACAGAACTTGACTTTATAGTTGCTCCTGATTATCCCCACCAATTTGATGGGAGCAAATGTGTGGATAATTTAAAAATTACTGTATTTCATTCTTCTGAATTTTATATGTTATATCCTTGAATCAGATCAGATTAATAGAAAAATACTTTTAGGTTTCCCATAACAATGATTGCATAGACTCTCAGTTTAACATAATGCTTTGACTTCTATACTGTATAGACATAATAAATGGTCATTAAAAAAAACTGCTGTAGTATACTTTGTCCATTATGTTCTCATTTTTCTTCTGTATTATGGGTATGACACAGAGAACATCAGCTCCTCTTTGAGTTTTGTTCAAGTAAAAAGTTTATCTCTTCCATGAACTAATATATAATTTACCTTTTCTAACCTTTCTTTTCTTCTTCTTCTTCCTCTCCTTCACTTCTTGTTTAAATTACTAATTTAACCTTTCCTTGCTGGGAGTGAAACTTTATGCTTACTGGTATTGTTAGCGTCACATAATCTGAAGAAACCTGTCGCCTTTGACTTATTTTCCTATTCCTATGTTATGGTAACATTGTATTGGTGGATTTTTTTTTTTTTTTTTTTGGCAACCAGTTGCAATTAAAATATTCTTTGGAAGTAGATAAGGCATACATAATAAATATAATATAGTGAATTAATCCAAGGGAATATTTAGGGCTTTGTAATACAGTTTTGTCTTATGTTGTGTTTGAGACTCCTTCACATTCCTTTACTTTATACAAAGTAAACCAAACTTGAAATATGTCCTAGTAGAAACTGGGAAACTTACTGGCTTCTGTTCATTCTCTGTTAGGAGAGACCTGTTCTTAGGGTAACAGTAAATATGACTGTTCTTATCTTTTAGGCTTTGTTTATATCTAAACATCATAGCTTCTTCTAGCAATCAGTTTACAGTTATTTGTGCCTGGGGTTAAATTGTTAGTCTCTTGCTAAAAAAGACTATTCTTGCTCTTGCTGCCTTCTGACATATACTTAGGAACTTGTGTTGTTGGAAATCCAAATATTCTATCTACCTTAATTATTATTTCACATTTTAAAGTACATCTTGGCTTTTATTTTTATTAAACCAGTGAGTTTGTAACCTTTTAAAATTAGTAGAATCCTTTTAAGGACAATCAAATATTAGAAGAAATTTAATACATAATACAAAAAATGGATTGTTCTCAACTGTGTGCCAGGGGTTAACCAGGATATTCCCTTCCTTGACTATTTCTTGCATTCCAGCAAATTTTTTCTTTAATTTTTAGAAAATGTGGAAAGAAAATAAAGTCATGCATTTAGTTAAAATACACACATATATAGCATTCAAGCATGCATGTACATTTTCATGCATTTTTGTGCACCTAAAGACATACATATATACATTTTCATACATTATATACTCTTGAAATATAGTAGCTAGGTCTTAAGGACATCTGATACTTAAAACTTTATTTCTGTTTAATCTAGGCGACAGAAGGCTAGAGAGAGGCAGCAGAAATTGCTTGCAGAGTTTGCTTCACGACAGAAAAGCTTTATGGAAACTGCAATGGATGTTGGTAAGTCAAAGTTATTAGTTTAGAACTCTCATAATTATACTTACTACTTTAGGCATGATGTAGTCCAATCTTTTACTAATTTAAAACATTACAGACTTATTATTTCTAGTGTTTATTTGGTCTTTATTTAAGTAATATAGTGATGGAAGATCGGACTTCTATTATAGACAGTCCATTCTGTTGTTAGTAGCTATAATTGCTAGGAAGTTCTTCCTGATGGTAGCAATATAGTATGCTCCTTTTGTTCTCTTCTGTTAAATGATCTCTTAGATTTGTGAGATCCATCAATATATATTTACTAATCTTGATCTTTTTCTTTGAAATTATCTTAAAATCCTTCAAATAGTTTCAGATGCTTCTAGTGCCTCTTTCTGGTACCCCTTCATTATTTCTTAAAATCAGGTGAACTTCTCATTTCCATTCAGATTAGCATTAGAATTTATACAGTGAGAGAGGATACCATGTTTTTCTATGATAGTAGCCTTTTACACACATTGGAGAAATAGATTAAATCTTAGTGTCAGTCTTTAGTTAACCGGGATATTCCCTTCCCTGACTATTTCTTGCATTCCAGCAAATTTTTTCTTTAATTTTTAGAAAATGCAGAAAGAAAATAAAGTCATGCATTTAGTTAAAATACACACATATATATGCATTCGAGCATGCATGTACATTTTCATGCATTTTTGTGCACCTAAACACATAACCAACTTCCTGAAGAAATTTGTAGAGATCAATTCAAATTTAGCCTAATGGGTTCTAAACCATCAAGTATAGTTAATATTCAAGATATAACTTTGACAGAAAGAATACAGATTGAGCACCCCTAATCTGAAAATCTGAAATCTAAAATGTGCCAAAATCCAAAACTTTCTGAGCTTTGACTTTCCACTGGTAGCATGATGCCACATGTGGAAAGTTTTTGACTTAAGATTCACCTTTTGAATTTCTTTTCTGGCAACTTGTTGATTTCCTTTTCATTTGGGTCTGTTACTAGAGAGCTATGAAGTTCAAAATCTCTATTAGGTTTTTCCAGAGGGACAGAAATGGTAGGATATGTATATATGAAAGGGAGTTTACTAGGGAGAATTGGCTTACATAATTACAAAGGTGACATCCCATGATCGGGCATCTGCAAGCTGGGGGATGAGAAAAGCTAGTACCATGGTTCATTCCAAGTCTAAAACCCTCAAAACCGGAGAAGCTGAAAGTACAGCACCCGATCTGAGGCTGAAGGCCAAAAACCCCCAAGAGGCCATTGTTACAGGTCTGAAAGCCCAAATGCCAATTTATCCATTTCTTTTAGGTTTTCCAGTTGGTTGGCATATAGCCGTGGCATGATGCCACAAGTGGAAAGTTTCACACTTGACCTCTTGTGATGGGTTGCAGTCAAAACTATATTTCATTTACAAAATTATGTAAAATGTTGCATAAGCCTGGGTGCGGTCGTTCGTATCTGTAATCCCAGCACTTTGGGAGGCCGAGGTGGGTAGATCACTTGAGGTCAGGAGTTTGAGACCAGCCTGACCAACATGGTGAAACCCATCTCTACTAAAAATACAAAAAAATTAGCTGGGCGTGGTGGTGCATACCTGTAATCCCAGCTACACAGGAGGCTGAGGCAGGAGAATTGCTTGAACCAGGAGACAGGTTTCAGTGAGCCGAGATAGTGCCATTGCACTGCAGCCTGTGGGTGACAAGAGCAAAAAAAAAAAAAAAAAAAAAAAA